CATATTCTTGTTTATATTTTTTGGGGTTCAACTCAAATCTTCAAACTAAGAAATCAACAATTAAATGTCAATTTCCAGCTTCAATTGCATTATCCAAACAATTTTCAGTAACATACAATTAAATCTCTTCAAATTTTTACAGTTAAAAAAAACCCAATAAAAGCTAAAAGTTTATCACCAACAAGCTTTCAAATGAGTAGCTATTTTCGAGTTTCAACACAGAAAAAATGACTTCAAGAGTTTTTCAGCATCTTCCAACCTTGAGAATTAAATTTTCAGCCTCGACATCAAAACCCAAACAATGAACTCACTCATTCAATGCACAACTACTATCTCAAACGAACTTTAGTGCACTTTGAAATTGAAAAAGTGCAGACAATAACTCAAACAAGAACGATGAAAGAACTATATTTTTTTATATAGGTATGAACAAGGAAGAACAATATTATTGAGAAAAAATGATTTTTGTCATGTTGGACTGTCTTGGTGGACTGTCATGTCAGTTTTGATGGTAAATATAGCGTTTTAAGGGTATTAGTGGTCCAAAACATAAACGACAAGGATAGTTTTGATCCCAAAAATAAATAAAGGGTATATATAAATTATTTCAAATAGTTGAAAGGATAATTTTGATCTTTTTCCCGTATATAAAGTAAAAAAGATAAAGAATAACACAATTATTTATGCTTCTTTTAAAAATCATTTTTTATTAAAAATGAGAAATACACACAACACACATACTCTAGAATAAGGGAGGAAATTGGAAATAAGAAAAAGAATATGAGTAAAATGAAAGAAGCAAGACAAATAGGAATCGAACACGACGCACTAAATCAGTAAAGAACGTTCGTTGGCAGAGAAGCCAAGAAAAAGACTTCCCTTTTCACCCAAAAAAGGCAAAACGAACATCCAAAAACGGCACATAAATAAAGTTTACATTTTTTCAAATTTCATTCATCGCAACTCATAACCTCTCTGTCGACGATCTCTTAATCTGTTCAGAGGTCAGTTCCAAAGATCTCCTTTTTTTTCTGCTTTCTGATGTATAATTTCTAAGCCAATCATTTTTTTTTATGGATCTATGAACTGTTTACAGGTGTTGGGTTTTATTTTCTCATATTATTGTAATTTTTTATGTTAATTTTGATGTTGGTTGATTTATTTGTTGTTTTGAGATCAGCTTTACTGGTCTGGTCTTATTTTTTGGGGATTTAAATCTTTTAGTTTTATCTTCATAATTATTTGTGTTTTGTGATTCTATTAAAGGAAGTTATCATGAAGGGTGTTTGAAAAAATTGGAGCTTTTTTGTGCTAATCATTAGGTATCTTTATGTTTGTTTTAAGTTAAATGAATTTTTTGTATGTACTCTGGGATGGAATTGCTATTGAAGTTTTATGAGTACCCTTTTGATTTCTTGGGTTTAGGTTGCGTTTATGTGCTGTGGGGTTGGAAAATTGTTTGAGGTTGTGTTTCAGGAAGTTAGAATTAGGCATGTTGACTTCGAAAGGAAAGCCAAGTTGTTTTCTGCTTTCTACTAGTGTTTCTCTTTTGGGTTCAGAAACATATTTTTGTCGAATTGAACATGTGAGATGAGCCTGACTCTTGTAGAAGGACTGTTCAAAGAATGTTTTGCGTATATGTGGAATAAGGTTGCTCGATTTGCATGAGCATAGTTGTGAATTTGATCCAGTTTCAAGTTTACTAACCAGTGTTTCTTTGACTTTTGCAACTTTGCTGTACTGATCAAGCACTATTGCTGATATTAAAACTTTGGTAGTTGTTTTTTATGATATTTTGCAAGATTCTTCTTTTGCTGGCTGCACCCATTGCACCTGCCTATGTTCTCTTTATCTTGTGTTCTTGTGTGGTGCAACGAAGAGGTTCTTTGTGAGGATTAGTTTGAATTATCTTTTTCAGACATAGTGTAGTTACCAGACTTTGGGAAGATTTATGTTTTTCTTGAAGGTGGCAGAGTTGGAGAATATTTTTTCATGTAATTGTTCTTTTCTCTGGAAAGGAAGGTGCAGGAAGTTTAACTTATTGTTGAAGATTGATGGGTTGGTGGTGCCTAAATGCAGGCAATTCAAATCTTGGTTTAGTCATCTAGTGATGGATGTAGATGTATCATATAGAATAGAATGAAACGGCTGAAATAAAGGAGTGTTTTGAGAGTGTTTTGGATAGCAAGGTGAAGTGAAAAGCAAGTCCTACCGAACAATTGTGAGATCATTATCTATATGTTTGTAAATGTTTGGTCAACAAAGATAATTAAAAAAATTTAGAGATGATCACGTCAACAGAGTGTGTGAATATTACGCGTAGAGGATAATGTGACATAAGGTCATCCGATATGGTTTTTCCATGCCATATGTAGACCTTAATATGCACCACTTTGTGTGATAATGTGATGATTGAAGTTGATAAACAGTGTCGAGGTAAACTTAGAATCACTTGGGAGAAGTTGCCTAAAAAGATGTACATATTTCGCAATCAATACAAGTTACCTAAGAAGAGTGTTCAATGGAAGCAAAGGATCTCTAAGACCAATACAAACCAGTTGGTTTAAATGACTTATGGTTGTTGTTATACTTAAGTTGGACCTGGTGTTTATTAGGAGTTCTTTTAGGTAGAAATTCATACATGTTAGTGTGTATGTGCAAGATAAAGAAACTTTAGTTTTATAAAACCTTAAATTTGTCAATTTGAATTATTTAGTGTTGGAATGAATGGATGAGCAAATGGACACGAAGGATCTTTTTTTTTTGGGATAAAGTAAACGTATTTCATATCATAAACAAGGCCCTAAAACGACTGTATGCAAGTGGTATACCAAAAGGCAAAAGCTAAAGAATCTACACAATCAGCTGATTCTCTACAAACTCCACCCAATCGTCTTATATAATATGGGACTTTCTATGTGCACCTACATAAAATAAGGGAACGAAGGCTACTCCTTCACTAGTAAAAACTCAACTCTACACCTTCAAAAGCTCTTCTTTTCCTCTCATTCCAGATAACCCACATTAATGCAAAGGATCATATATCCAACCTCAACTAATCGAGATTAAGGTGTAGTTGGTTGTTAATGTTTTCCTCTAAATCAATTTTTTGCAGAAAAGTAACAATATGGAGCATGATGAGACAGGATGTCAACCCCATCCAGAAGGCCCTATTTTGTGCATTAACAATTGTGGTTTCTTTGGAAGTGCTGCGAACATGAATATGTGCTCCAAGTGTTACAAGGACGTGATTCTGAAACAAGAACAAGCAAAGCTTGCAGCGTCGTCAATTGAAAACTTTGTAAATGGGTCCACAAGTCAGAAGGGGCCTGTCATTGTTGGCTCTGTGGATGTCCAACCTGCCCTGCTAGAATCAAAATCTGTGGTTTTTTCATCACCTCCATCTTCAAGTTCTGGTGAGGCTGCTGAATTGATGGCCAAGGAGGGTCCTAGCCGATGCAGCACTTGCAAGAAAAAGGTTGGTTTGACTGGATTCAAATGCCGCTGTGGTAACTTTTATTGTGGATCACACCGCTACTCGGATAAACATGACTGTCAATTTGACTACCGCTCTGCTGCACGCAATGCTATAGCAAAGGCCAATCCTGTTGTGAAGGCAGAAAAACTTGACAAGATCTAAAAGGAGTTATTGTTGTCAAAGTTGATGTGTCCTTTTCATCGAAGGAGGGCTTCCTCTGATTGGCTACCTTTCACATGATATCTCGTTAAATCTGGGAGTCAAGGCTATTTAAGAATCATCTACAGGCTGAAGAACTCCTGTTCATTGTCATAGGTAGAATTTGTTTGTTGACTCCAGTTTCAAGTCTTTGTATGTGCTGGTTTGGTTAATATTAATTAGGTTTGGTATGTGTCATTCTGTGGTTCACATCCATGCAATTGTAATCTGGCATTGTAAATTATTCTGCATGGATCTCTTATATGGCTTCACTTTGCTCCAATGTAGTTTATTATCCTTACATCGCCTTGCTTTGTAGGTGTCTTGCCTTTGTTCTTGTAGGTAAGCTGTTTACTTTTTGAAAACATCTGTTTCTGCAACTGGATTTACCGTATGATGGTGTTGAGGTATTCTACTGTTTATGTGGCGGCATGTGTTTTGGACTAATCATGTTTTGATAGTTCACACGAGTTTGACTAGGGTTGCTTTTCGGTTGGCACTTAACTAGAGAAACATGAATAGTGTAGCTTGCAATTGTTGCCGTGTGTTGTTTCTTTCTTGGATTTTGGTGAATTATAGTTCAGTTGACTGATAATTGTACAGAAAGATGAAAAACATTGGAGGCCATGAGCTCTTTTCATTGTACTTCACTCCATGGCTCTGGCTTTATCTTTGAAAATTAAGGTTGTCGGGGCAAGTAATCATCAGTTCCCTTGTCCATTTTCTTCAAAATGTTGTTTATGGATCAACTGTAAGTGGTGAGACTCCGATGCCTAAGGCCAACTGTCTCGTTACTATTTTGCTGAGTAAGGTTGATGTTTTTGTGCAATTGATCTGCCCTGAGCAGCAATACAGTTTCGATTATGAATCTATTAGAACTTCCTTTTGTTATCATTAGGTCTCTTAGATCTTTTTGGTCATTTCCCCAGATCGTATAGTTGATTGAACAAGCACTCATGCACCGAATCCCATCAAAACTTTGAAGTTATCTTGATCGGAGATGAACCTGTATGAATTGAGATAGCTTGGGGATTGAGGTTAGTTGTGGAGGCAAGTGTGTAGATACTTACTTGACCGATTTTAGATAAGAGAATAAAGTTACAGAATATTTCAGGTTTAGCTGCTCCGGAATCAATTTCAAATCTACAAAACTGAAATTGAAAATTCAGACATATTGAGTCTGAGAATTTAACATCTAATGCTGTTTACAGAAAGGTGTAAGAGGATTTATCCTCAACATCCTGTGTTTCCCACAAGAACTTGCTCACTAATTGGCTAACAAATGTTGCACAAAAACTTGCCTCTCATTTTAAAGGGAGGTCAAAACTTGAAATGCTATAAAGGAGCTGTAAAGCTAGTCAGAACTTGGTCGTCACGCTGAAATGCCACTGGCTTCAGCTTCAAGGTACTTGCACATCCGCTCCATAACCTCTCTACCCTTTGCGCTGTTCGATTGGAACTTCTCTACACATCTCTGCTCTATTTTCTCTGCCATAGAAGCCAGTGCTGATAAAGGCTTAATCTTAATACTAGTTTCCTGCTTGCAGACTGTCCATGAATTTGGATTATCAGGATGAGGATCATATCTAATTTTCTCCTCTACCTCAATAAAATTTTGGAGACTGATGTTACGAGTAGAAAGTTGCATTGACCGATTTTGTGCATCAACAACCGTTGATTCAATACAGTGACATATCTTGACCAATGATTTTGCGAACAAACCAAGGCCCAGGTGCATGTATAGTGATGGCACGAGTTGTGTAAAGCTTCCCTAAGTTGGCGTCAAGCTTGTGATCTAATGTATCAACCTCAAGGATGTGAGATAGGGCACGTTTGTTCATAGGATCAGCGAACTTGCGCCAGGATGCAGAAGTAACTCGTTCCCATGGGTGCCTATAAATATGCTCTTGTGAATATGCTCTGACCATCTGGTATCTCTTGGTCTTTGAAACCTGAACAAGTGAGCAGTCTGAAGTCAAGTAATTTCAAAATCTTGTTGTGGAATGGAGTTGGCTGCAAACTAATCAATATACTTTGCTTTAAAAGAAATTTTCACTCTAAAGCACATGTCTATATACAGAAATATGGATGACCAGAAAATATCATAATCAAGTACTGTAACGGTATAGGTAGATCTGATTGTGAAAGACCTATTACGGGATAATTTATAGGTTTTGGGCCAGCTCATGATCTAAAACGAGTCGTACATACACCCTGGCACATGTTCCTCGATGCTGAGGGCACACCTGAAAAGTGGGGGATTTAGTAACCTTTGTGCAAGACAATCAGCCATGAGAGTAAGTTCTCTAAATGACCAAATCATCCATTATCATTCGTACGACATAGAAGATAAAATCTATCTCTCTTGTTAGAGTATTAGAGAAGTACTCAGAGAGACAAAACTTGCCCTCTCACTTGGCTGACATAGGAGATCATCTTATTCTTTAAGTTGACACCAATAACAGAGAATCTAGAAATGCTCAAATGGTTCCAAAATCACTAAAGGGTCTTCTTCTAAAAGCTTCATCACATTCATCATTAACACAAAAAACCAAAATCAGGATCAATGCGGGCGATAAGAAGGTAAACGGTATCCTCCAAGTCATAAAAAGATCACATCATCAGAAGGTACCCTATTGACTAATCTAATTGCAAAATTACACATCGAAACATACAACCGAATCCAGAAAGAAGTTTCAGAAATTTTGTAACAGCAGCTGAATAATAGAACACACACATAGAAACACAAGATTCAATTTTTGCAAGAATCATCCATATATTTTTTTAAAAACAAATAATACTTTTAGGTAACAATCAACCCATACATGAAATTCAAACAGAGAAGCTCTTCAAAATTCTAAAGCAAAACACCAATTCAAGTCAAAATTTTCACCAATTTCATCTTCACACCCCAAATATAGATTAACCACAAATTCATACAAAAAAAAACAAGAAATCAAACATAAACCTCAAAAGGGTCTCTCATGAATTTGCAGATCCAGTACTAAATCAACTTACGAAAAAGACAACTTGGGACCAAATTATTTCACGTCGAAACAGAGAATTGATACAAACAAAAAAAATTGACAATTTAAATCAAGAAAAGGGCTTACAGATTATCTATATGTATGAATATGAGAGATGAACAGATCAATTTTCTTGAAGAACAAGTTTGAAAGCCGCCTTCAATTCTCTCTCTATGGAAAACAAAAGAAAGCAATGCCAAAAGTTAGAGCAAATGACATAAATGGTCCCTAAACTATCCTAGTAGGTCTAAAATGATCCTTTAACTATACAGTTGACGGATATGGTCCTTTAACTATCCACCCTTTTGTCAAGTTTGGTTTCCATACACTTTTTAAAAAAACTGTTAGTTAACACCGTTAATCTGTTAAGTCAATCTGTATTGACTTTCTTTTCCGTCATTTCTTTTATCCATTATCTCACTATTTCCTCACTTTTTTTCTCAATTCTTTTCTTTATTGTCTTATTGCAATTAAGTCGTTGGTCGTTATTTCATGCGAGTTAAAGCAAAATGCAAAGTAGCGAACACAATTGAGAAAATATTGTGAGCAAAAATACGATTCTATTTTCATGTTAATAATCGGTCATTACATCAATGAAATTGCATAAAATTGCAGAAAAATTCAAAAATCAGCAACTAAATTGAACTATAGTGCTCTGTTTTCAACAATTGTTGTGCAGAAAATAACTTAAACTACAACAAAAAATAGCAGCTATCAAACTTTGATCGAATTGCAGCACCAGAACACCTAAAAAAAAAAACAGCCCCCAAAACGTCACCAAACTGCTGCACAAACAGCAGCACCAACCACAAAAAATCAGCACCAAACTGCACAAAACACAGCTCCAAATTGAGAGAGAGTGTACTGAACGACGTTTGTTGACGGTATTCATAAAAAGTGGATGGAAACCAAATTTGACAAAAAAGTGAATAGTTAAAGGACCATATCTGTCAACTGTATAGTTAAGAGACTATTTTAAACCTACTAGGATAGTTTAGGGACCATTTATGTCATTTGCTCCCAAAAGTTAGAATGATATATCTGTTATGCTTTCCACGACGAATGGCGGTGTGTTTGCTGAAAATCCAAATTGAAAATCGAATCAAATCAATTACTTTTTAAAAAAATATCTAAGTTGATTCAATTAAATAAAATATTGAACCAAATTGATAAGTTATTCCTTTTTATAATTATAGTGGTCATAGTGTTATGCTTACAGTTTCTTGTTGTTTTTTGTTTTTTTTTAATTGATATATATATATATATATATATATATATATATATCATTTTGTGTAGTTGAATTTATTGATATACTTGATTGCAGTATTATTCTAATATTATTTGTTGTTTTGTTTCATTATATTTTTTTCTAGTGTGTTTTGTCTTGAGTCGATGATCTATCAGAAAATAGTTTTTCTACCTCACTTGTATGATACAGATAAGGTCAACATACACTCTATCCTCCCCAAACTTAACCTTTTTTAAATGATTTTTTTTTCAATACAATTCTTCTAAACGATTCAATATGTATACTTGACCCAACTAATCCGATAAATTTATTCCTAGTGCCATTTTAAGGGATTCAAATATGTTAAATAATTAATCGATGCAATCAACGGTTTAGTTTAAAGAGTGGTGTGTCACGTCCCGCCACATCACAATGAAATTTTGTGTCCGAATAGGGGCGGAAGGGTCTAGAGTTGTGGAGAGGTTTTCGGAAGACTCTAGAACCCTTTAGATTATTCAAGAAGGCCTAGAATAACTTAGAAGGCAATGGAAGGTCCTAGATAATTTCCAAGAAAGCCTTAGAATTCTCTAGAATGTGTAGAGAATTCTAGAAGAGGAACTAGATATTTTCTTGGAAAGCTTTAGAATTTCCTAGAATTAGTAGAAGATTCTAGGGAGGGACCAAAGTGTAAATACTTCAGAGACTTGTAAAGTAAATATTAATTACATTTTAGTCCCTAGGAGGTAGTATAAATTAAGGCTGGCAAACGGACAGGACCGGATCAACAGGACCGGTTTTACCAGAACCGGTCCTCGTTACCGGATTTCGTTACCGGAACCGGGTCTTACCGGAACCGGTTTTACCGGAAATTTCCAAAGGTTCCGTCCGGTCCGGAACCGGTTTGGACCGGACCGGAACCGGTTCTTACCGGATCATTTTGTACCGGTAATTTTATTTTATTTTTTTATTAACTTTAATTATTATATAATATTATATTATTAATTAATAAAATTATATTATTAAAAAACTTCAATTTAAAACTTTAAACTTTAAAGTTACTTTAAAGTTTCAATTGAATTTAAGTTTAAACTTTAAACTTTAAAGTTTAAAATTGACTTTAAATTTTAAAGTTTATAACTTTATATTGAATTTAAATTTTAAAGCTTAAAATTGACTTTAAAGTTTAAAGTTTAAAGTTTATATTGAATTTAAAGTTTAAATCTTAAAATTCAATTTTATATTAAAGTTTAAACTTTAAACTAATATTAAAATAGTTGAAAATTAAATTTCTAAAATGACTTGGATTAAATATAAGAGACTATTTTAAAAGAAAATCAAGGCGAATAGCCGTATATTTATTCAAATAAATAAATTGTACAATACAAATATTAGAAAGAGACAAAGAGTACATAATCTAGGTATTGAATATTAATTATTGTACTAACAATTGAAACTCTTTTTAAAATCTTTTCGTAACTTTTGTATCATTTCAAAAGAAACATTTTTTGAAACTTGTATTTGTCGTTCTTCTTCCATTGCTTCCATACCATCATCACTATTATCACCAAATATTTCATCTATTTCGTCTTCTATTTGGCTATTTAATTGTGGTAGTCCGGTATTTCTTCTTTCGGCATTGATCCAATCTCGAAACAACACCGATATTTCCAAACTATCCTTTGCTAATGAATATCGATGATCTCCAATCATAAATCTCGCCGCACTAAAGGCTTGCTCCGAAGCGACCGATGATGCTTGAATCGCTAGCACATCTCGAACAATCCTAGCAAGGGTCGGAAATTGATTTTCACGATTCTTCCACCATACTAATATTGGAGCTTGAAGTTGTCCTTCTTCATGCCTAATCTTTTCCCGTGCCTGATTGAAATATAAATCAAAATCATTATTAGTAGATGATTCAATCTCAAGATAATCATCCATCCAATCATCTGTATCATCGCTTCTAGGTTTACAAGATGGAGGTTCAACTATTGGAATATTTTTTTCCATAGATTTATATGTATTATATAACTCTCTAGCTTTTATATATATGCTACTTTTACAATTTTCAACACTAGGAGTTTCATCATCTTTAATTTCTAAATTTGCATAAATCTTTTCAACCATTCTTTCAACACCTTTTAATTTGTAATTTGGGTTGAAAGTAGTAGCAGTCAAATAGATTTGAGGAATAGAGAAAAAATATTTTTTTAATTTTTCAATCATAAAAGCAAGGGAATTTTCAAATCGATCTTTTCCTTTATATTTTGCAAATTCAGATGAAATAACATAAATATTTACTAAAACAGAAGAAATAGTTGGATAATATTGACCAGAAGCAGCATTTGTTGCTTTATAAAAAACACTTAAAAATTCAATAAGTTCTTTTGTATTTTCCCAATCTTCATAGCCAATTCTCAAATTCGGGTCCGCATTATGAGCATTAAAAACTAATTGTACCGGCTCTTGATAAATATAAGCAACTTGAAGCATTTCAAATAAAGAATTCCATTTAGTGCATACTTCTTTTGGAACTTTTCTATATTCAAGTCCATATTCTTTACAACGATTTTAAATTCTGTAATTCTAGTTTTTATTTTAGCTTAAAAAATCCAATTACAAGCAAGTCTAATTTTTTCACAAGAAATTCCAAATTGAGAAATACCATCTTTTACTATCAAATTATACACATGTGCG